AAAGGATAAGGACAAAAACTAATGGAAAAAAATTCTACTGTCTTTATCAACTAGATATTTCTCTATATTTAGGGTTGCAAAGTGCAGAGAAAACTTTTAAAAACTTTTATTTTTCTCACTATAATAGGAAATAAACCTCATCAATAGCACAGGATTTCAACTCAACAATATATATAGAAAACTGTCTGGTAGGATACAGTATATATACAATCTTATCAGTTATACACTGTTAAATTGAATCAATATTTCTAATCTGAATGAATGGTGTGCATGTTTCTTTTCTCTGCAAATCTGGCTTTACAATCCTTTTTCATGCAGTCCCAGTCAGAAGAAGGAAAGGTATGGGATTTCTTGGTGCCATAAATAAAATATTATGGTAGAAAACCAAAGTGAAGCTGTGTAAGACAGTGGGCTGGAAAATCAACAAGGGCTGGAAATGGAAAGTGAGATTAAAGGTAACACTTAGCCACAAGACTATCCTTAGCAGCTTTAGAATAGTATGCAGCTAAATAAACACACATGCAAAGCTTACTTTGTGATGTGCCTTGCTCTCACTTTTAACAGCAGATGATTGCTATTTACTCAAGGGTAGTGAACCACAGGAAGCTGGCCTTTTTTAGCCCTCTTGCCCTGGAAAAGAACTATGAGAAGGCAACTCAATATAAACTCCCTTCCTTCCTTCCTTCCTTCCTTCCTTCCTTCCTTCCTTCCTTCCTTCCTTCCTTCCTTCCTTCCTTCCTTCCTTCCTTCCTTCCTTCCTTCCTTCCTTCCTTCCTTCCTTCCTTCCTTCCTTCCTTCCTTCCTTCCTTCCTTCCTTCCTTCCTTCCTTCCTCCCTCCCTCCCTCCCTCCCTCCCTCCCTCCCTCCCAGCTCCCCACCCACAGCTGTGCCTTTTTTCCTGGGCTGTATTTCTGAACATCTCCAGTTCAGACTAATGAAGAGCACTCCCAGCTATGGAGTGGTTTTTTGCTGGTGATGCTGAGTCTTTGTGTTTCATATCAGTCAGGGAGTGCAGTGATGCAAACCTGCCTGACCTGGGGTGACAGAAGTTCAAGAACCTTGACTGAAATGGGAACTTGTACACCCTCATCTCCTTTATACAAGAAGGTGAATGATGAAGCCATTTGCAACCTCAGAAGTTTAGGATACTGTGAACACCTTTAGCCAGATTCTGACTGTGCAAGTGGTAGCTGCTTAATGACATGAGTTATGTTATTACAGCACTGTGGAGTGCAATTGCTAACAGGTGTTGACACTTGCCATAACCAAGTTTTATGTGAAGGGAAACATAAATCTTGCATTTGGGCATCCTGTGCATATGGAAACACGAACAATGAGGTGCTGAGGTCAGTGATAGAGGCAAAGATCTTTTTTTTATGCCAAAGAAAATGACTTTGGAAATAATTTAGAATTGAAGAAAGTGAAAGATGTAACTGAAAAAGAACTGTTTTGCTAAAAAAGCTATTCAAACATATACTTGATATTTGGCTAAGGAAATGGGATCCAAACTACATATTCAGCTGGCTTAAGCTATGCTGGTTCACTTTGTCCTGGTGATTTTTGGTTATGATATTCTGCTTTGCAGGCAGGCTAGCAGTATAACTCAGTAGCAGCAAAAAATTGTTAAATTTTTGTTGATGTTAATAACAATTCTGTGATTTTTCAGATGCCTGGAAATCAGCTTATATTGTGGTTTCTTTTTAACCTCTGTAGATTTTGTTGGAGTGATGTCTATTTCCTAACCTGATCAAAACTATTTATTCCTAACAATTCTTCTTTAAAGGTAAAAAAAATGGTGTCCTAAAATGGAAGATTGCTTTAAGGAATTAAAACTTTTAGTTTGAAACAAGAAAATAGAAAGCAAGCAAGAAAAACAGCTCCAAGAAGAAGCTCAATGTACTTCTCAGTGCTAAGTGAGCTGTTCTAGTCAAAATGTTGGTAGCCCTGATCTCCCTAACTAGGTCACAGTTTAAGGAAACTGTGCTTAAGGAAAGCCTATCAGACTGAACTTCTCAGTGGATTTGTATGAATACACACAATTCCTTAGTGAGGCATGAGTTGGAGCTTGGAAAGACAAAGTAAAAAACTAAACAGCAAATCTGTGGTATCTTATGATAAACAACATTAACTGATCTTTGGTGGTCTTTCTCTTCCTATCCCTTGACAGACAACATAGGTTTTGATTACATTTTGGCCTCAAAACAGAAAATATCTGAAGCTATTTCAGTTTTTTAAAGTAGAAAGACGATTCTCCCAGGCAAGTGTAGTTCAGGTGAATTTTTTCAGAGGGCTGAATTTGCTCTCTGTGTGCCTCTGGCTGGCATTTCCCTTGCTGTAGATGAAATCCATGTCACACGTCAGGAGGTGAAGCACTGCTCAGGGTGTGTGGGATGGCCCTGGGGCAGGTTTGTTCAGCTTGCAGAGCCCTGGGAGAGCAGACTGAGCTGCTGCCCCGTAGAGAGCAGCGTGCATCGACCCACACAAACAGATTTGCTCTGTTGGGTGGGTTTGTCAGAGCCTGCAGCTGCAGCCAAGCTGCCCACAGCACCCAATATCACTAATTTAAAGAGAGCTTGATGGGCCTACATTGATTTCAATCACAGTAGTGACTTTCTTTCCATGAATAAGCAACCTCTAGACAGACTAATTGATTACATATATCTCTGTTCAGTGTGCTGTGCTTCTTGCCTTTTCTTGCTGGTCTTGCCTTTTCTTGCCATTCATCTTTAAGAATTTAAATACTCAAGGACACGTAAAGTCTATATATATTTGTGAGCTAAATAAGAAGCAAATTTCTAAATCTTGTGTTTGGATTTTATACTACTTAATGTAGAAATCATGTGGATGTGAGCAGTGCTCCAGTTTTGTGCTTCTAAATCTTTCTGAAAAATTGAGATTAAGGCTGGGAAACCTCTGTAGCCTAAAGACCATGCATGGATAACACCCCCTATTTCAGTATCCACAGGATTCAAGCATCTTATTGAGTCTTTCATATTTGATCACTGGATTTTATGTTATCAGAACTGAGAGTTGTCTTCATAAAAGAATTCTGAGCAAGCTGGCAGCATCTACCCCACCTCACTCTTTGCAGTAGTGAGGTAGTGTAGATGTCACATTAATGAGATGTTTTGATGGGTAAACACCAGGTTGATTTTAACACAATTTGATGCAGTTTTATCTGTAGAGTTGATTTTATTGGCTCTTATAATCTGTTTCTCTCTTGAGCTTTAGCCACTGGATTTTATTAGCTTCAAAATTTCATGGTTGTACAGCTCACTGGCAAAGACAGAAATTATTGTAATGGCTTTAATGGGAGGGTAGTTTTTCATCCTTAGTTTTATGGAGGATTCCTTTATAGTTTCTTTCAAAATGCCATTTTAAACATGTGAACAGGTCTGATTATGCTGCAACAAATTGTACACACTGAACATATATATAGATGATTGGTATTACATTGCATTTAACGAATTGAGAAATATTTTAGGATTTTAAACCAAAGCTATCCTCTCCAGAATTATTTTTATGGAAAAATCTTATTCATAACTAAGAGAGAATAATCTCATTAAAGCTCTTAAGGGTCCAAGCAAAATAATTGGGCAATGGGTTTTTTTGTTTGTTTGTTTAAAGAGAAAAGGAGTTGGAGGGAGAGAAAAGTTGCATTGCTCATCACTATGGTATTCCTTGAGTAATAAAGTATTAAACACTGTGAGGTCTGCATTATGGTCCCCTGAGTGCTCACATGAGCTCAGGTGGGGAATATCTGAGGTGCAGCATGGCTGGTTCCTCAGGGGGCTAGGGAAATTTTGGGAAATAAGTGCCTTAAGATCCTGCCTCAAGCAGTGAGCTCCTAATACTGAGAGAAGCTGTGCAAACCCAGGCTGTTCTCAGCTGAAGAACCCAGCAGTCACACCCAACTTCTGCCTCCCTGGAGAGGAGGCATTGTGGGGTGGAAGGAGCAGGGCTGCAGAGCGAGCGCCTGTCACTGTTTACAGGGGAGTGCTGCTTTTGGATGGCAGTGCCACCACCTCTTCTGTACTCTGCAGAGGAATAACACTGCCTTGATCCTGATCCAGCTCTGTGTGGGACCTGTTTGGTCTCACCATGGCTGGTGTTATGGAGTCTCAGTGGTTCTCTGCATTCACAGGCCTCTGGCACTCTGGTTTGCTGTGTTCCCCCTTTTGTGTGGGGCATGCTTCTCAGCACACTTGCACTGTGCTGCCTCTGCTCATTTGAAACCCAGAGCTCTGGGTGGTACTTTGGTGCTTGGAAGGGAGTCTTGAATTTTTCAAGGCTTTTTAGCTCTGGCTGAGCACATAATGCTGTTTGATGCTAGCAAAGCCACTCCTTCCAGTGGTCCCAGTAACATTAAGGTAAGGCTGTGCAGGACCTACTTGGGTCTTGCAAAACCAGATGGGGTCCAACAGAGTTTGCCAGCCCTATTCCTGTGCTGTGCTCAAGAGTTACCTGCTTCTCCTGGCCATGGGAGTTCTTGTGCTGTGCAGCACCTGAGCTGACAGATCCTTTGAAGCTCAGCTACCTCTACATTTACCCACAGTACTTTGTATCTGCAGCTGCATTGTGGCTGATTTACAGCTTGCTCCTGGGATCCTGTAACCTTCCCCATTAGGTCCTGATTTCATCATGTACCAGCACCAGAAGCTGAGCCACTTGAAAAAATTCCTGACTCCCTGCTCTTTGTGTTGGTTCCCACCCCACAATTGCCTGTCACCTCAGCTTGCTGAGGGTAGCTGGTTGTGAGGATGAGTAACAAGCTGCATCTGTCATTTGGCTTTATATCAGTTCTCTTTAAAATAAACCAATAAAAAATTCCTCTCTGTTGGGGATTGAAAAAGGTGCAATTATGTCTGTGCTACTGCTTAAGAAAGTACACATGGAGCCTCATACTTAATCAAATAAATCCTATGATTAAAGCCAATGCTGAAACAGGCAAACAATGTCTACATCTTCCAAAGTATTGAAAAAAATGACTTGTTTTTTCAGCATTGCTAGAGAAACCCATCAGCAAAAGACGAGACAGTGAAGCTGTACAGAAGGCCAAGATCCTTTATGCATCTTGCATGAATGAGGGTAAGTAGATTGATTTGAGGAGGGCATAGATGCATCCCCTGCGTTTATAAAGGCAGGCTTTTTGTCTCTCTGCAGAGCTCTGTGAAGCTCTGTGCAGATGCATGGATTTTGCTGATATGGATTCAACTGGGGTTTAGGGACTTTTGCACATTTAAAGCTGTGATTTGAGACTGAGGTACACTCAGGCACAAGTCAGTTTTAGAGAAACCCCTGCTTGTCAGAAGTGTGAAGAGATATTTATCTGTGCAAAAGGAAGTTAAACTGTGCCCCAGGCTTGTGGGGTTAGTGCCTGGGGTTATTAAATCAGAAGAACCCTCTGATGAAATTCTCATATTGATATTTTCAAGAGCCTGTTGCTCATCACCTTCTACATTTCTCTAAATCTGTTTAATCAAAACACTACCCCAGGGCTGGGTATAGACAGCCCTGGACTCTTTAGCTTTGGTATCTACATGCCAAGCAAGTTAGCCATGTTTGCAGAGTGCTTTCCCTCAGCTTGTAAATGCTGCTGTAAGATAATGTTCCCTAATTTGGAACACATCACTACTCTTAGGTAGCTGCAGAGGTGAAATAAGGCTTCTAAGTCCCCTTTCTCCTTCTGACTCTTTCAGGATTTATTTTCTGCACAGCTTTCTTCCAGTATGGCCTGTCTGACTGACAGCAAATGAGATAGCCTGCTCTACAGCTTTGGTGTCCAGATATTGGCTCTCTAGCTTTGATTATGAGCAATAACCCCCCCAATTTCCCTAAAACCAGTGAAATATCTATGCTAGTTCCTAAGCAAGGAGTGTTTTTTTTTTTTAATTTACCTAATTCCAGCCTTTGCCTTTTTGGAAAGGCACTGACTTGCCTCTCTTATTCTTGATACAGATAAACAGGATTGGACTTCTATGCTGCCATGCTCACAGGCAGAGCAGAGGCTTTGAGTTTCAGCTATTGTGATTGCCTTGCCTGGAAATCAATTGGTGCCAATAAATCTTTGTCTCGTGTGGCTGCTGCTGGACTTGAATTGTCTGGAATGTAATTGTTGTCACACTTTGACATTTCAGATAAAATTGAAAAAGCCGATGTGAAACCCCTGTTAAGTATCCTGAAGCATTCACCCTTCCGCTGGCCTGTGCTGGAATCCAATATTGGACCTGAAGGGCTGTGGTCAGAAAGGAGGTTCAGCCTCGTCCAAGCCTTGGCAACTCTGCGTGGCCAATACAGCAGCTCTGTCTTCATCCGTTTGTATGTGGCTGCTGACGACAAAATCTCCCACCGCTACATCCTGAAGGTACAGCACAGCATCTCTGATAGGTTACTTTGCATGCTGTTTTATGGTCTCTTTTTTTTAAAACACGTTTACATACCAAAGGTTTACATTTGATTGTTGTTATTATTATCTACTGGCTTACAGATGTATGCAGGTGCCAGTTTATGGGAGTCTAGAAGCCACTAGCAACCACTTGCTATTGGAAAGTATTTCTGTACAGGTTTTCTTCTTTCAAATGGAAAAAACCCCATAAAAATGTCCCAGTAGACCAATAGCCAGGGTCTATGTGCATGAGAATAAGAACTCAGTATCTAATTCTGTGTGCTGCTTTATGACTCATCGGCTGCATGAAGAAGGCTTTTTGTCTGTGAGGATGAAAAATGGTCCATCAGTAGCAGATATTTTGAACTTGAGCTGTTTTTCTTGAGATGGAAACACTTAATCTGGTGCTTATACAGCACCTTACAACACAGATTTATCCCAAGTGCTTTTAAATGTGAAATAAGAGAATTCACATTTTTCCTGAAATGCTTTTAGACCTGAAATTGCTTTTAGACCAATTGAAATTTTCCTGAAATTGCTTTTAGACCAAAACATTACTGAACTCTTAACAGTGCATGGCATTAAATAACAGTTTAGTAAGAAAAAGACTCAAGAAATGTTGCCTCCCTGTAGTCTAACAAAACTCCAGATAAAATTGTATAACTGTGGCAAGACTGAGCTCCAGATAAAATTGTATAACTGTGACAAGACTGAGTGCCTGGGCCAAATGCATTGTTGTTTAAGAGCTTCAGATGAGAAGCCAGAGCAGACTTTCCCTCCACTGCTACAAGAAAATAGTTCCTGAAGGCAAGAGAGAAGGAGCAAATAAGTTATGATGGCATTCATCTCAGCAAGAAAAGGATTTAAGATCCTTATTTTGCTGGCATCTTGGCTAGCTGTAGGAATGTAGCCAAGAATACATTGTATTTAGGGACTGTGGTGGTACTGGAGTGGATGTCAGTTCTAAGTCACTTCTTTATTATGTCTTTTGACTGAGGCATTTAACTGGCATAAAGTTAAAGGGTAACTTTCCCTCATCTCTAGGACATTTTCCAGGATAATCAACAGCAAATCAACAGTTTGCTGTATTAAAGATGTCATTCTGCTATGATGCTGTTTAGATCCTGTCAGTTTTTCTTCAGCTGGAGACTCACTCAAAAGAACTGAAGCTGTATAATCAGGGAGATGTTTATCTGAGTGTCTCCTGTCATAATATTTCAGTTCAAGTCACCTGGCAGCAAATGGCTGGGCAGGGACACCCTCACTGCTGGTCTCTTGGAAATGATTTACAAGCAGCAGCACCTTCACTCTTTATGCTTAGGGGCACCCAGGAATTAAATATCTATGTGAAGCACAACATGCTATGAGTGATGTATTATTCTGTAGGGTGTTCTCATGTTAGTTTGATTAGGACCTTGATCTGCAGAATGCATCAGCCAGTGCACTACTTTGTCCATGTTTTAACAAATTCCCTGGGGTGTAGATGTACCACACAGTATTTCAATCTGCTTGAAAAAGGGCTTTATTGCAAAATTCTTTTTGTTCAGCATTGCAAAATCATCAATGGGTCATAAAAGAAGTGGAAACTCCAAATAAAACTTTGTTCAGCATTCAACATGATCTTTTTTTTTTTTTTCATGAGTGCTGAAGCTGTTGGTTAACATTTATTGTTTATTTCTCATATTTGTGCTGTCTTGGTTTAATGTGCTGTCAAATCTAATTCTTAAGACCAGGGAATTTAAATGAGCATTTAATGTAACAGTCACATAATTGAAATTCCCCAAATAATCTGAAGTTAACTATTGCAAAGACACATGTACAAAAAGCATAAGAGTATATTCTTTTTGCATCATTGTGCTGAGAAAAGAAAGTTATGCTGTTTTTCAAAGAATGAGGATTGCACTGAGCATCACAATTACTCCTTTCTGAGGATGGTTTGTTTTGTAGAGGAAAAGATTACATTTATTCATTCACTTTAAATTCTAAGTTTTATTTATTTTCCACATGTAGAAAATGTGAAATATAAATCACTTAACCTGAAGTATTTAGATTAAATAAGACTTATATGAATTTTATGAATAAATACAGTCTATTGTCACTAGACTTATCTTTTAAAAACAATTGCAGCATCAAACCAAAAATATTTAGAACATCTAAGAAGTTGTTTCTGCTCCAATCAGTATCTCATTCAGAGTTTGAAAGCTGGTTAGTGGAAGTTTTCAGCTTTGGCTTCCATACCCTAACCTAACTTGATCACATTGAAAAGTTCTGGGAAATCTCAGTTCCTAGTTTTTATTACAAAATATGTGCTGCATAGTGAGTTTTTCCTGGTTAGGAAAATTCCTATCTTTCAAATGAAACAATGTGCAAATATTCCCATGTACATGTTTCACTCAAGACACTAAATGCAAATCTCAAGCTTTCAGGCCTAATTCCAATATTAGGGCGAATGTAGACCAAGAAATCTGATCCATGTGTAGATGAAAAAGGTAAGTGAAGGCCAAAGATCCATCTGGACTACAAGGCACCTTTAGCTAAAGTGCTGGGGACATAACAATATCCTGTGCATGCGATCCTGGCAGGTAGGCACTTCAGTTCCAGTTCATCTCTTCAAAAGACTGAATACAGCCCCCAGTGCTGGTCTAGGGTGAAGCTCAAAATGTAACCTCAGTTTCAGTCACAGAAACCTGATGATGCCTCCCAAATAGACAGCAGCTCTCATGCTCCAGCACTCAGGGGCATTTGGTGCATACACTAGATTGGTGTGATCCCAAGCTCACTCTTGTACCCCTGAAATAGACGTAGGATGGATGCATGGTCATCAGAACCAGGGGTTTGATCCTGTAGACCCAGTCCTTTTGCATTTCCTACTCATTGATGTAGCTGTTTTAAACACCTAAATCACACGTGTGATTCTTTTCTTTAGGTGGCTTAGCTATTGCAGGGGTCATCTTAGGCCCCCTAGATCACAGTAATGTGATTTAGTTAATACCTGTCCGCACAGCATAGCATTTTCCTGTTTTGAAATTTTGTCCAACTCAGACTGGTGCAGTGTTTTATATGTTAGGTATTTGCACACAACTACTGTAATTGTCAGAAAAACATGAACCCTTCCCATGCTGCTTGTCAGTTTGTCTTTGAATCTGATGAATTTACCTGTTAAATGTTACTTTGTGTTGTTTTTAACAGCTTGATCAAGCAAGCCTCTCTCTGTCATCTCGAGAGGATTACCTAGAAAATACCACAGAAGCCAAATCTGTAAGTATTGTCAGCTGGATAATAGAGCCACCATTTCCTCCTCATCTCTTTAATTGTTCGTTTTGTTTTGTTGAGCTCCAGACTGAGAAAGGGTTTTGTGCTTTGTTTGGATTTGGGTTTTGCAGGGTACCTAGCAGAAAACTCCAACTTCTATCAAATACTCTTGCAAAGTTTCCTAAATGAAGCTTGCACTTGTATACAAGTACTTCTGTCCCATGATGGTTACTGTATTAGTTGGCCTAAAATACTGGTGTACACTTTTACACATTGTCTAATCCATTTGTAAGAGCTGCAAGTTGTCAGTCTAATCCAGAACTGTCATTTGCATTTCCTGAGACTTGTACTCTCTGAACCACAGCAGTTGTCTCTGTCATGCCCGGTATTTTTACAGTGTTATTTCTCTTTTTTACCTTGCTTGGCATTCAAGGTAAGGAAAGCAAAACCTTGACATGATATACCCCTTCCTATAGCTGGGCACTTCTGGTCTGCTGCTGCAACTCTGTTCAAGAGCAAATCCTGTTGTCATCTCAGTCTTTCTCCTTCTTTACAGTACCGAGATGCCTTTTTGAAGTTCATGGTTGATACAGCAGTGCTGCTGGGTGCAAATGCCTCCCGAGCTGAATCTGATATGAAATCAGTTCTAAAACTGGAAGTTAAAATAGCAGAGGTTGGTAATCCAATATAATCCTTTCTTGAAATGAAAAGCCATTGTATCAACAGCATTAGCAAAGGGATTTTAGAAGCAGAAGGAAAGGAACAGATCCTGATGAAGAAAGGATGAATAATATTTCTCCCTTAGTTAATTGCTAAACTGTTAATTTTATTTTATTTTATGTCAGGGGGAAAACCTTAGCCAAATACCCTTGGTGTTTTAAATGGTAATGTCAGCCAGGCTGACCAGAGGCAAGGCTGGGGGTGGCATGGCAATGTTAAGGGAGGGTGTATTAGCAAGGTCCTTTGGTCTGCCATCTCAGTGGAGGTGAGGATGGAGATCCACATGGCAACAGAGATACAGGGACTGTTGATGTGTTAGAAACTGTGGAAGTGCCTGGGGATGGCACCATAGGAATTAGGGCTTCTCCTTCCAAAAAGGTGATGAGATCAATATCCCAGCTGAAGTGCATCTACCCCAATTCACTGGTACCCACTGGGCAACTGGAAAAATATGACATAACTCAAGACCTTACATGTATTTTCCAACCTAAATGATTCTATAATTTTGAAGCTGTGTAGGATCTCAGCTCCTGCCATGCACCTGTGTTGAGAATACACATCTCTGTTGTTTAAGAAGCAGACTGGGCTGATCCTCTGTGTAAGAGTCTAAAAGCAGTGCAAGACTTAGGTGGGATATTGGATCTTGGTGGTGAGAGGTGGTGTTTACAACAGTACCACCCTTAGCTCCTGAAGTGTTTTCATGAAATAGTCTGGGAGAGAGGATGTTTTAATTTAGGGGACCAACAGAATTTAGTAAAGCTAAGTGCATTTAAAACTGGTACCTGGTCCTGATATTTACTTGGTGACATTTTTGCAAGGAATTTAATTTATGCCACAGGATAAAGGAGTGTTTTGAAGGAGCGTTTTTGCTTCTCCATATCTCTGTTTCAGCGTGGCTACTACAGGAATACACTACAGGAATCCCACTCATGGGAGTGGCAAGTTCATTATCATTTCAGCCTCTACTAAAACTAGAGAGAAGGGTTGGCCTCAGTGGTCACAACCCTTTGTGGTTGGGAAACCACAAAAAGTAAGGGTACTGACTTGATGCTAGTTTGCAGAACTGCCAGCTGAGCTGAGTTTCCTTCATATTGGCAAGGAAAGGAGCTATCCCTGTGAAATGCTGGTCTCCTCTTAGCAGAAAATCCTGTTGCATGGGACAGGTGATGCAGCAGATGTCTTTTATCTGGATCCTGCTCTTGCAGTCTACAGGATGCTTCTTGATGCTGTGTTTGTACAGAAGTGAGGGCCACCCACAATAGCAGCCAATCAGTGTTTCCATCTCTCTGCTGAAAGAGATGAAATTTTTTTAAACGTCTAAGCCAAGCCCAATATTAATTTTCAGTTACTTAGCATGGATGGACTAATGCACAAATACTTCCTTGTGACCCAGCATACTTGAAAAACAGTACATATTTGTCCTGTTTATCAGTGATGGCATAAGAAGATGTATTCTTAGCTCTGGTAGCTTTAATGCTTTCCTTAACAAGTGTCTTACAGAGCATTAATCCACAAAGTATGTGAGGAAAGCTGGCATGTAAGATGACATGGATCATGTAACAACCCTCAGCATCAGTAATGCACATCATTATGCAACAAGCCATGCTTGCTTACAGGTTCTTTTAGTAAGAGTAATCCTCCTAACATCTGTCCAGAGATTAGGCATGAGTCAATGGACATGAATTGTTGCATAAACCCTAATAAACATAATGATTATATAAACATCTTACTGTGATGGAGGTAGTCCTGTTTGTCACTGGAGATTTTACTGTATTCAGTGTTCCTCTGCATTTTTTCAAGTAAAGATATGAAATGGAGAATTTCTGTGCTCAGGAGGAGGCAGGAAGAATACTTTGGATATAGGAAGGAGTGGCATGCTTTGAGAGATCTTGTGTACAAGGAAGATTTTTTTATTAAGTTTGAATCACTGGAGCTAGAAGGAAGGATTTGAGGGGAAGGTAGTAAATGGCTTCAAGAAGTGTTTAAAGATTTTTCAGATAAGTGAAATTTGCAGAAAGGAAAAAGAAAACAATTTTTTCCCCTATGGCTTGAGCAATACTAAAACCGTAAACACTTACTGGAGATTTTTGTTTGGAGAAGTGCCAGCTGTCTGGTTAGTCTGGTGTCAATCTCTGTCCTTTAGACTGCCCAGCATGCAGCCTGTTGTATAGGATTTACCTTACAGCAAGGCTGGAATTGCCATTAGGAATTTCTGTTTCTCTTGAACACTGAGAAAAGTTTAAGCTATATCTTGTACTTTGTTTGTTTTACTATTATGAACCACAGGGGTGTCTCGGAGTCTGCATGTCCTTCCTGTCAGTTATAAAAGGACTTGCTTCATATTAGGATTTCTTTTGCTGTATCCTTGGAGGCTGCAGAGGAACTTGAGATCCATCTCTTCTGGTCATACAGATGAGAGGCCTGGTTGGGGAATGCTTTATTCATGTCTGGCCTATATACTCAGGTTTCCTGCTATGGAAATCAGGATGATGGGGTGAAATGGGGAGAAACTTGTGTGTATCTGGCTCTTCCCCCAGGTGGAGTAAATCCCTAGGAAGAAAACATTCAAAGACATGAGATGCACACCTAGTTATGAAGATACACCTATCTCAGATTTGACCTGTTAAATCTGAAGTTGGCTTCTACTGGATAGGAAGGAATGATAAATATTAATGCTCAAGGTGTACTTTTATCTCTTATGTATTAGCATGTCTTTCCTTAGCATAATAGAGCTAAATCAGTCTAAAGTCCAAAGAAGACATGCAGCTCATTAAATTTCCCAGTAATAAGTTAAACATAAAAGGAACCATGTTCCATTTCTTCCAGTTAAATGCAATCCTCAGAAACAGAGGTTAATGCCATAAATGCTTGGAAAACAGGTGGTGAGATATTTCTGCACTGGGATTATGAAGGATGGTAATGATGTAAGAGTCCCTGCAAGATAAACCTTGTTTTGATGGTTTTGTGCATTTTTTTCTCTTCACCAGATCATGATTCCATATGAAAACCGAACAAGTGAAGTGATGTACAATAAAATGAACATATCAGAGCTTAGTGCCATGATTCCACAGGTTGGTTGGGGAGAACTGATTTTTTTTTTTAATATCTGACCTGTATAATTAAAACTGTCTTTAGTGTTCAGAGAAGCATGTTAAAGAAGTATCATTAGGAATGTGTGTGCTCATTTGCAGAGTATGTTCTTTTAAATATAGTTCCAACTTTAATGAGGATTGAAAACATGTAATGACAAAGTGCAATAGTTTTTAAGTTTTTAATAAGTAAAGCATTGAAACCATTAGTTTTAAAGTTGTAACTTAGTTTAAAAATCATTTCTCTTCCATAATCTGCTTTAACCAGCCTTCTCTTTGTCATTGCAGTTTGACTGGCTGGGATACATCAAGAAGGTGATTGACACCAAACTCTATCCTGAGCTTAAAGATATAGGTCCTTCAGAAAATGTGATTGTCCGTGTTCCCCAGTACTTCAAAGATTTATTCAGGATACTAGAAAATGAAAGGAAAAAGTAAGGATCCTATGATGGTTTCACTCACACTTGTAAGGGGACATCAAATGCTGGGCTTTTTCTATTTTTTTTTTTCGTGAGTTTCAGCTATTCTTAGAATCAAGTCTCCAGGCAAACAGTCTGTTTGGTTTTGTCTGAATGAGGATTTAGATATTACCTTGTGCACAGCAGGAGAATTTTCAGTTTCAACACATTTCTTCTATGGCTAACACAGGTTGCAGTAAAGCTGCTCTTTCCAGAAGCATTCAGCATCTCTTACTTTTATAGGGTCTTGTATCTTGTGAAATCCTTTACTCCTGTAGAACATAGTTGTAAAATGCAGGTAGCTCAGATTAAACACAGTAGATGTGCTTTGCACAGGGAAGCAAGACAGCTTTGGGCAGTAATGAAAAAGTGACATCCCACTTGAAACATCCTTATTGATGACATCTAAGGGATTTCAGTGATAATTTGGTCTCTGAGGCATGTTACTGAACTTGAAAATAGATTTTGTTAAGATGTTGTCTCCAAATATCAATCTGTGCTGATTGTACAGTATGGCCACAACCAAATGTATTTCAGGAAAAAAAGGACAAAGATTATTCTTATATTGCCTCTCTCTGTCACTAGTGATGTAATGCTTACATTAGTTCTTAGTACCTGTAAAAATAGAACAAAAAAAAATTAGAAAAATAACAATTACTGATTTGCCTACAGATAATCAAAATCCTTTCTTTAAAAAGATTCAGATAAGTAGCATTACTGCTGCCAACATTAATCTATCTTTAAAAATTATTTGGGCTGTCTGCTTTCTAACTCAAAGTTTGTTACATCCGTGGGTATAAATGTGTGATTTAGAGGATGCATATCTGGCAAGATAACAGGGAATTAGTTATTTTCTGCATAAAAATACACTTAGATGCAAATATATTTTGTAACTACAGAGTAAATACTTGGAGACTTTTTCCATTAGTTTCTTATTAAAAGAAAATCTCAGTATTCAAGAGAATTTAAGCCAGCCTGTGGGTCGTGGCAGAATGAGGCTGGAGTAAGACCAGAAATAATTGCAATGCCTGTCTTTAGCAAAGCTCAAGACCAGGTTCCTGACCTCACAGGTCAGGGGGAGAGGGTGAGCAAAACCAGTTCCATTATATTCACACTGCATATTTTATTGGTGTTAATGGCTTAGGCATTTTCTGCCCAGTCTTATCCTAAGAAATTGGCATCATAAAATGTTAGAAATGACAAATAGTGCTAAACTGAACCCAAGCAGGCTTCAAATTCTTGTGTGTGAAATGTATCCAAACAGCCCAGGCCTGATAACCAAGATCATGTTTATCTATTAGGTGATAATGTCCATTACTTAAAATGTCAGAGTCTGCTCCAGAGGTAACCTTGCTATCTGGCCTGAGAAAATTAGGAAATATCTCAATGTGGACTCCGAAAAATGAGGTCTCAGCATTTCCCTGTAGGGTGAACTGTGAAAGCTTAACAAGGATATTTTCTTTTAGGTAATCTCATTTGTTATTCTCCATATGACATTTTAAAGACTTATTTATTGTAAACAACATGAATTTGATTTGTTACTGTAAATATCTAGACCTGAAATTCCTAGAAAAACATTTCAAAATTTTAGATTTGCTTCAGTGTTCATAATGGAAATTATCTTCTCATCATTTCAGGAGATGGAGTGTCATTAGAAAAAGCAGGTACTTTTCACCAAGTTCATATTCTTTTCAGTTACAAGGCTCTCCCTAAATTATACTTTTATTCCAGTGCCTTGTGTGTCCTCTTCCTGAATGAGCACCCTGCTAGCCTGGGTACTATTTAAAGTGTCACAAAAAGATGGCTCATGCCCCAGTATTTTACACAGTGATCTGGTGAAGTATTTCATGTAGTTTGTTTCAGGTGGAGGAAAGAATGAAGTGAAAATTAAGTCTGGCTAGGCTACAGAAGCAATTTGTGTTGGAGGTGGAAAGTTATACTGACTCACAATGCTTGTATTAAAAATTTCTCCCTCAGAGAACCTGCTGAGCAATCTTGAATTGTGAAATCATTCACGGGGCAATATTACTAGAAGAGAGCACATTAACATGGTGTAGCACGAGTTTAGCAGAATTTTCCTTAACTGCATATAATCAAGTTTCTATGTGGAGCTTGAAATAGGTGCAGCAGTGTCCAGAGGTCAGTCTGCAGTCCCCAGGCCTGGGCACTGCTGTGACTCCAGCCCAGGAGCTGGGCTCTCCATGGTGAGCTGCCCAAGTAGCTCAGCACTGGCCTGCAGGAGTTTCCACCAGCTTGGGGATAGCCAGCCTTAGTCATGTCAGGTGCTGAAGTGAGTCACACCTTTGTAAGAGGTCTTCAGGGATTCCTTCAGCTTTTTGGTGTACTAATTCATTTTTATGGGGTTTATCTCTGTTAGAGGAAGAAGAGGAGTGTGTATGTAGCTGTGATGTAAATGAGCCATGGCAGAGCTCCAGTACAGCTGTGCCATGTGAAGGGGAAGACAGAGCTGTGCTGGCACTAATTAGGAGCTTATATCCCTTCCCTGTTACTGGTGTGCTGGTGCTTTATGGGAGCCATAAATAGGATACTCTAAATCCATCCTTTCTGGAGATCTTTGCAGCTGTTGAAAGAAGCAGCTTTATCATTCTCATAGATCTCAGAATGCAGAATTAATTTAATAGAATCATGGAATGGTTTGGATTGGAAGGGACCCTACAGATTCCCTTGTTGCAGCAGCCCTGCCACAGGCACTGGGCTGGGTTGCTCAGAGCCCCATTGTGCTGACCCCTCGTAAGGCAAGGGCAGCCTGGCCTTGAGCACTTCCAGGGATGGGGAATCCACAGCTTCAACTCGGACAACTTGTTCAGTGCCTCATCTCCCTCACAGCAAAGAATTTCCTCCTAACAGATGATAAATCTGTCCTTTCTCAGTCTAAAGCCAGTTCCCCTTGTCTTTCACTATAGATCCTTGTAAAATGTCCCTCTCCAGCTTTCTTGCAGGCCCCTTTTCCCTTGCCTTACCTTCCCATATTTTTGCAATATGGGACTATTAATTGAGAAGAGCTCTAATTCATATAGCATATGAGGAATTTTCTTCAGAGATGGAGAGAGGCACTGGATTTCTTTTCTGGTCTTAGTCTGTGTCTGAAAAATCAGAGAAATTACAATAATTTGCCTTGAATTAGTGCCTCTAGCAATAGAGGCAAAAGTTTTTCAGTACTTTTAATTTGATTCGTGACTCAATTCTGAATAGAATTTTCAAACAGATCTAAAATTTGTGAGAGATCTTTTTCTTAAAATGTCAATTAATTTTTCCACCTATCTCATATTAAATCTGTCCTCTTTAATTGCTACCATGTCTGTTGATTAAAATATCGCAAACTCACAGAATTTTACATGAGCAACCTACTTTATTCTCAGACAGGACAGAAAGTGCTTTAGTAAATATTCATAAGTACTGGTATAATTTTAACTGTCCCAGCAAACAGGCTCTCTACCACTTCCTTTGGGAGTGTGTCATAATAAGGGTCATACTGGTTAAAAGTGAGCCTACACTTTCTGCAAGAGGCATTTAACAGGAAGTTAAAATAGAGTGTACTCTTCTGAGAGGTTACAACAACAAATAGTCTGGTCTCACTGAAAGAGCAGAGAGGATTTTTATGTTTTATTTTTGTACTGGATTTTGCTCGATCTGTAGAGATGAACTTCTATGAGCCTCAGTGAACTTATTTGTGAAACTAGGATGAAAATCACCCCAAGATCTGCACTATAGATCTGCACTTTATCAGCAAAAAGTGTCAGTTTTTAAGCCAATTGAAGAGAATAGAATTATTTGAAGTTTGCACAGTTAGCCCGAAATGTAAAATAATCATTCCCCAAATAGGTAAACAAATAAATTAATATTTTATTTTGTTTTGAAAAACAAACTAAAGCACACTGGACTTCAAATACATGACAACAAACCCCCTCAACCTTTCCACCTGTTTCCCACCCCTGATTCATAAGTGTTAAGTGGAACCTCCCTGTTTAATGCATTGTGGATTCTGTTGTGGTTACAATCTGGAATTATTACTGCCTCATCAGACAGCTTGGTTTTAGCATGTGTCAGCCTTTTCCTTCCCGAATTAAAAAAATCCCCAATTAATTATATTTCCTGCAACTGTCACCCGCCTTCATTACTTATACCTGACACAAACATTTCTGAATTCTTGTTGATATTACTGTCTTTCAATAGGACACCTTTTGAGATCCCTTTTATAAATTTCAGTCTATCATTCATTACCATTTTGAGAGAGGTTCCCCAGCTCAAATGTAAGGACAAACATTGCTGTGTGAAAACAAGTACACAGAAGACAGAATTGATTTTGGTTTTGTGAGTAAGTACCAAATTGTAATACATAATCGTGTGATAGTGATTTATTTAGCTAAGGATTTTACCTAAGGCTTTTGATTGGAAGCAATTCTTTAACCTTTTCATCTGTGAGATTTGTATAAATGCTGCAGAAGTTGCTACAGCTGGATATTCTTCAGCTCTGCTGAAATATCTGAGGCAGATTGTTGTGAGGTTTCTGGAGTTTGAGTAATTTACCAAAACAATGAGAGCTGAGTGCTTTTAGGGCGCTTCACTTGTCATTATTGAGTGAGAAAATTCCACATTGTCAGAAACTTAAGGGAAAAGTCTGAACTTTGTGGCGTTCTTTGTGGCGTTGAAATGAATTTTTAATGATCCTCAACATTATCCTAAAATGGTGTGATTATCTATTTTGGCTTTTGTGACTTGTGCTATCTTATAAATGTACATATTGCACGCTAAAAAATCTTTTTCAGATATGTTTTATGATTATTGTGGGCATTTAGGTGCAGTATAGAATATATCAGTGTGCTAAAAGAGGGAATATACCCAGTGTGAGAGATGCAACAACACATCTTGAGGTGAAGGCTTTGTGTGGGTGGACTGGAGCTTGGTTAGAGGCAAAACCAAAGTTATGTCTCAAGCAAATGCTGCTGTCAAGACAGCATGCCCACAAAGTGTGTTCCCAAGCTGTTATGATTCAGAGGAGGGAGCTGCTTGGGATGTGTCTCTGAGTGAAGTGATGTGTCTCTAATGGGGTGACACTGCAGCAACAGCTGCATTGCCCCACACTTATGGCAACGGGAGATTGCAGAAATGGGATTTTAGAGATGGGGGAGTTGTTCAGACAGCCCATAATAGCACCCTTGGTTGCATGGAAGCCATTTTCCTATTCACAGAGAAGTCTATGGCCTGTCAAAAATGTTATGTATATCCCAGTGGGGAACAAATAACATTTGCATATCCTGGCTTTGAAGCAATGACTGTCCTTGAAAAATGTCATGTATAAAAGAAGGTGAGAATATTAAGTGTAGGTCATGTTGGACATGTTTTGAGACTGTTTGAGGTTGAATTGTGTATTTCAGAATGCACCTTTAGCTGATACAGCCACTGCTGAACATGGAGAGATCTCAATCTAGGCTGGATAAATCCTCCAGTCAGGTGCCCAAAGTTTAGAAAAGGGGCATGGATGCCAGATCTCCTGGGAATTTTAAACAAGCTCTTCCTTGATCTCTCAGCCTAAATTCTTAGAAGATTTTTGTTACTGGTACTTCTCTTTTTTTGGTATTTCAATTATCCATCTGACAAAATAGGAATGGTAATACTTTAATAACTTTGTGAATAGTAGAAGTTTTCAAAGCACATTGATAACTTCTAATGAAAGATACAAATATGAGATAATGAGAGTGTATATGGGATGGACTCTTATCTATTCTGTTACCATTTATATGCCCTAATAATGAGGGAAGATAGCATTCACTTTGATCTACAGAAGAAAAAAACAGTTAATCTCTGGATAGAACTTTGATGCAACCATTATTATAACACAGTTCTTGCCACTTCTAAGGAAAATCAAAGCTGCCTTTTGAAAAAAAAACATTACCTAAAAATTACATACTAGGTGATGGACCTGTTATAAATTATCCCTAGCAGATGGTTATTATGGGGCAATTATATATTAAATGGCTGCAATCCTACAGATTCTTCCATGTAATTGGGATTTATCAATTTGGCCATCACTCAATTAATTTTTAGGGTGAAGTTTCATGAAGTTTTCACCATTGGGATAAAATGTTTGGGGAGCTATTTCTGTATTTCTGTGGTACATCATATGTGTTTACATGTCTGATAAAAATATGCCTGATTTAACAGGACTCTTGCCAATTACCTGGTATGGAGGATGGTTTATTCAAGGTTATTTAACCTCAGTAGACGCTTTCAGTATCGGTGGCTGGAATTTTCTCGGGTAAGTTATGCTTTCATAGCATTTACAAGGGTCCTAGTGTTGACACTGTTGGTTTCCCTTGTAGTTGCTTATACCTTTGCAAAACACAAAATGTTTTCCATGCTTGATACATTTCTTGAATAAACTTTTTTATTTTTGAAGACACCCTCTAAAACAATTGATAAACATATTTTTGTGTTTGACACTAAGGCATTTATATGACACTAAAACAAAAGAAAAGTCCTTTAGATGATGTTAAAGAGGTTTTGAAATCTCCCCTTTAAAAAACTTGGTCTTCTTTTGCAGAAACTTGAGGTTAGGTGGGCTGTGACATTCAGGCCAGACCCTTTTGACCAAAATCTATAGTTTTTGAAAACTACTCTTTGCCCATTTGTAAATACAGCTGTACTAAACCAGCAGTCTAGGATTTCAATTTTTTAAAGCTTGCTCAAGGCTCTCCCATGCTCTAATGCCATGACATGAGCTCTAGCACGAGGATATCCAGCCATTTCCACAGAGAAAATGATCAGGTGCCTTCCAGCTTGGGGTTGCAGAAGAAGCAGAAAAGTGCCACAAGCTGTGAGAGCAGAACTAATTATCTGTTCAGTAATATGGGCATCTATGTAAAACACATACATTTGATTCATTGAACCCTGAATAGAAATCCACCTTGGTAATCATGTGGGCTCCTTAAGTAAACCAAGTGTGAAGGCTCCTTAAGTAAACCAAGGATGAAACTGAAACTGAATGGTACTTGGTCTTGTGTCTAAGCTTCTTTGGATGGTGAACTTTGTTTGCCATTATGAAAATTGGCTGACAACAGGAGGCTGGCATGGTGCAGGAGGTGTGGGTGTTCTGTGCTCCCTGGTGAGGCATGCAGGTGACTAATTAAAGAATCTGTCCTGTTTTGCTTTGAGTAATACTGGAATAGTTCTGAGTTGATCACATACCTAACAATAAACTCCAATAGCTTGATTGAAACTACATAGGAAAGGCAGCCTCTTGTACTTCTGAGATCATATTCAAAATAGTCTTGTTAAAGGTGCTATTTTCTTAATGTAAGATATGAGAAATTGGCTGTCAGAACCACAGTGACAAGTTTGTAGGTGTCCCCTCCTGGGACATTTCTTGCTAGTCAGGTAAAATAGATTGATGCTGGCTATCAGCCAGTCTGTAGCATAATACTGAGTTACATTGAGTTATGTAATGGCAGAAAAAATCCTGAAAGGAAATATTAAGTTTTGGGTACAGTGCATTTTAATCTGGTAACTGGCTGCTGTCACATCTCTGGGACATAGAAGCTTAGAGAGAAATCTAATTCAAAGTGATTCAGTGCTTACTAATAATCTCATCAAGGCTGTCATAGAATTACAGAATAGGTCAGATTGGAAGGGACCACAGTGGGGTCATCTGGTCCAACCTCCCTCCCTGCTCAAGCAGGGCCATCCCAGAGCACCTGGCACAGGTTTCTGCCCAGGTGGTTCTTGAACATCTTCAGTGAAGGAGATTCCACACCCTCCCTGGGCAATCTGTGCCAGTGCTCCTTCCCTGCACAGGGAAGAAGTTCTTCCTCATGTTCAGGTGGAACTTCCTGTGCATCAATTTCTGCCTCTGTTCCTATTGTTCAGCGTCACAGAAAAAAGCCTCCAAAAGGCTCCATCCTCTTGGCACCTCCCCTGCAGATACTTTTAAACAGTGATGGGCTTCCCTCAGTTGTCTCTTCTCAAGGCTGAACAGGCCCAGCTCCCTCAGACTTCCCTCATAAGAGAGATGTTCCAATCTCTTCATCCTTGTTTCCCTTCACTGGATCTGCTCCAGGAAATCTCTGTCTCTCTTGTCCAGAGGAGCCCAGAACTGGACACAGCCCTCCAGACACGCCTCACTGGGGCTGGGTGGAGGGGCAGGGTCACCTCCCTGCCCTGCTGGCACTGCTGTCCCTAATGCACCCCAGGGTCCCATTGGCCCTCTTGGCCCCAGGGCCCTGCTGGCTCATGGACAGCTCATTGTCCATGGACCCCCAGGCCCTTCTCTGCAGAGCTGCTTTCCAGCAGGGCACCCCCAGCCTGTGCTGGTGCCTGGGCTGGTCCTTCCCCAGTGCAGGAGCCTGCATTTGCCTTTTCTGAATTCCAGACCATTCCTGTGCCCATCCCTCCAGCCTGTCAGGGCCCTTCTGAAGGGCTGCCCAGCTCTCGGGGGTGTTGGCCACTCCTCCCAGCTCTGGGCCTGCAGTGACATCACTGAGGAGGCCTCTGCCCCTTCCTGCAAGTCATTGATGGGTAAATTAAACAATTCTGGCCATGTAAATGGGTGTAGATTTCACAGGTCAATAGAAAGGACACAAGGAATGGAGTCCAAGGCATTGGACTAGTCTATTGTTGAATAAGATTTGTCTAGTCAGAGGATGGAGAACTAGTGGCACTTTAGGATCATAAAAAGGATCCATCAACCCCTCTGCCAGGTAAGAGAATAAAACATTGAATTACTACTAAAAAGATATGACCATGAGATAAATCAGTGACCCTTAAAGGAAAGGATGTATTTTATACATTCATTGTTTCATTGATTCAGTCAGCCTCAACCATCATAAGCAGGCTATTTTTTTTCTCCAGTTTCTCATTTTCTATTGGTAGCTTTTATACCTTATGTGTAGAAATCTTGGCAGCAGGGCCTTAAAATCTTTGCAAGGAGAAGGAAAAATGAATGATGAGACTTTAAAAAAACTTCAAGTTTAGAAATAGAACAAACCTGCTGACTCTAGAGAAAGTGCTTTGAGTACCACACCAGCAACTATCAGCAGCTCCTCTGCAGTGGCACTTTGAGACCTTGTAAATGTGCAGTGGCACCTGGGGAAGAGGTTTGTTAATTGTGTCGTGAAGCTCTGAATTGGCTGGAAGGGCTTGAAACCTGCTATTTATAGCCACTGTTACTACCTGAAGTACTGTGTTTTAGAGTGGTACATTAATATTAGGAGGACCATTTGAGGGAGTTCCTGTTGGCTGTTGTGACATAAATATCAATAAACCAGCTGTGAGATATAATCTATTCCTCTCAGCTCTATTTTTATTGGTCTCACAGCCTGTGCTGCCTTTATGTTCTCCTTACAGTCAAGCCTCCCTCAAAATAATGATAATTATTATGTTGTAATAATAGTATGCCACAGTCTGAAAGCCAGCTCTGTCTCCTGACTATTTCTATGGCTGATGCATACTCACAGCTTTTGGAAGGAATTTCAAGCTCTGATGACTAATACCATAACTCCCCTTCTTTTCCCTGCATCAGGAAAAAGCTCCATTGCAGGTTTACTCTGACCCCAGAGAGAAATTTTCTTCTCTTTTGTTCTTATCTTTTTTTGAGTGTTTTGTTGTGTTATGTATAAAGGTTGAAGAATTTGGAAAAGGAGTTGATTGTCAAATTTGGCTTTGTTTAGAAAAAAATCACCTTATTGTGTATTGGTTTGACTAATAGGGGTTCTTTTTAGAAGCAATGTACTCTTTGCCATCGAAAATCTATTACTGCATATACAGTATTAATAGAAAGCACTTGGAAATGCAATTCACTGGTGTATTTAAGTGTGAGTCATTGATTATGCTTAATTACAGACAATATGATAGGGAAAATCAATCTTTGAACTACCAAAATATCTCACCTTCAATAGCTGAGGGTTAAGCTGCTCTGGAATTTTCCAGTGAAATATTTTCCTATTGGAAAAAGACAAATCCAAACCCTTAATTTTGCTGGGCATTTAATCTTGTGCTCAAAGGAGGAGAATAATGCGAAAAAAGAAAGGGCTCAGAAACTGCAAAACTGGTGCTTAAGAGGATTTTATAATCTATGAGAGGCCAAAATCTCTATCCCACCTGCTCTGGTCTGATGCTGACTATAGTCTGCCTTTACACTGCTGTCAGGTGTTGACTGCTGGACTGGAATTGTCCTTGTTCTCTGTGGAAAAGCTTAAGTTCCTTAAGTGGGAAGGGAATACTTTGAACATTGAAAATAACAAAAGTTTCTTAAATCAGCACTGTTTATTGCTCACATGAGCTCATCTTCTATCTTGTGTGCAGGATTTATTTACACAAACTGCATCTTGATGAGCAATGTAATGTTAGCTAGGTAAGCACCAACAGTAATAACATTGCCCCTGAGAGAAACAGAAACCAAGGCACCAAATGCTCTTGAGTTCTGTTTTACCTTGTTCCTTGTGTTGACCATTCTTGACTGGTTCTTTTGAAGCTTATTTATGACATTATCAGAGCCTGAAAGTATGGATTTAATACCATTCCTTTACTAAAACATGCAAGTTGTTCTACCAAAGTCTTTCTACTAAAGCATAGAGTGATTTTAAAATTTTTTTGGGGGAGAGAAAAACATATTCAGTGTTCTTGATGATTTAAACCTCTTTTCTCCTGAACATGCTCCATTTGGGAAAGGAACTGAAAGCAATTTTACTATTTTACACAAAGTGCCTTAAAAGTAGCTGGACAGGTAAATGACAAGAAGGTGTGAACCTGTACCCATCTGTGTTAGATGTCATTAGTTCATGGCAATGGAGGGAGGGCTCTGCAGGAGGTGTTTCATAAGGACTAACCCAGTTTTCATGAGGACAATCTTCCTAGGCTTCTCACCTTGTCAAAGGAGAGGCAAATGTTTTCAGGAGATACCTCACAGCAGGGTTTTTCTAGCGGAAATTGTCTCTCACAAAGAAAGAATACCAAGATTAGTGCAAAGTAAGCACTAATTCTCAAGGCCTAGGCTCTCTAAGTCGCTGCTACCATTGTATTGTTCTGAAGTTTAAAATCTTACAGGTATTTTGTGGTGTTCAAAATATTTGTCATAGCACTGGATGAAAACAGAAATAACTGTAGAGTAGAAATAACTATAGAGAATCATGATTGTTTCCTTTTGGTGGTTTTTTGACAAATATGCTTTGGCCTATACCCCATGTGGATTCTTCTTGAACAGCATGATGTTATGGCCTAATACTTGCCCCTGTCAACAGGTGATCCATGGGACTACAACTTTGCTGCCCCAGTGGGATAAATGTGTGGACCTTGTAGAAAATGCCCTCCCCTACGTTGTGGGTAAGATGTTTGTGAAAGCCCATTTTAAAGAAGACAAGAAAGAGATGGTGAGTCCTCTGCAGTCTCTGGAAATTTTCAGTTAGTGGTTTCATCCTCACAAATTGCCTCTGATGTTAGAACAAAGTTTAAAAACACTTAAGATTTTTGAAATCACTAGGAGAAAATTGAATGAATTTGAAGAAGTGTTACCTTTCTACCCACCTGGGCACTGCCCCTTCTTTCCATCTGCAGTCCTACAGACAAATAAGCAGCCAGTTATAAAACAGGTTGAACACTGTTAATGTACGTAAATAGTGACAGCCAGGCTGTGCAGGAACAGAGTGAGGGGTATTGATGAGAAATGGCTTGGTATTGCTAATATAATTCATTATAGTAAAGTTTTTACTGACTAATCAAAAAACTGGTTTAGATTTCTCTGCTTTAGGATTGCTCTTTGAAAACTGTGACTGCTGCACAGTAGCAGTCTGTGTAATCTGAGCAAGAAACATGTGACTGGTGTCTGGCCCAAATTAAAGGAAGCTGAGAGTCACATAGTGAGAGTTTATATCTGGGATTCAAATCTTTCCTGTTGAACAGTGGAAGGAAAAATTCTTCTTTACCTTTGAGTCTAGAGAGATGTTCATTCTTGTTCTAAAATTTTCAATATTCAAATAATTAATTACCCTTCACAATAATTTATGACTTATTTTCACTTCATGCTTTTCTTACAAAGTTTTCCAATATCTGCTTTTACAGACATTGAATTTCCAGCAGTAATCAGTTTTAAATTGACTGATTTAGTCATTGAACTTAGCTCTCCATGCAGGAGAGGCACAACCATTTAGGAGACATGAGATGGGACCCTGTGCTGGGAGCAGCAGCCCTGTGGAAGCCCTGCACTGCCCTGGCTCAGTAGCCTGAGTTTGCCCCTTTATCCACTTGGGCTGCTTTCACAGGGAAGGATTCCATTTTAGAAAGCACATGCTTATTTGACTTGTCCAAATCTTTGTCATCTGTTTCCCCATCAGGTTCTGCATTTCTTTTCATATTTGCCTTCAACTGGAGTTTCCTCCCTGAGATCCAGTTTTTCAATCTCCTTTTTCTTGATCCAGCTTGTAATGTGCTATTTGGCCATTTTGTGGCAAAAATATGCCAGGCATATGCAGTATGTTATCCTGCAGAGATAAGTGGGAAGAGTAGGAGTGTAAGAAATGTACACTTTATGGAGGGGATGGACACGTTTTCATATTTGCATATGTGAGGAAAAATTATGAGAAGCAGATAGAGCAGAGTTTCTCTTGAAATGCAAGTTAATTAGAATGTTTCTTAGTATGCACATTCTTTTTAGACAAAAGCTTGGAAAATTATCAAGTCTGAATTTGCAGTAGCACCCATGGTGAGAAATGTTTATAAAATTCATAGAGTAGGTCACAACATTCAGTCTTAAAATGAAAAACCCATGGAGATAAAATTACATACAGATGAAATTCGTTGCATTTCATTTAGAAGTGTGCTTTTCAAGTTAATAATTTGTGGTGTTACCATTTTCATTTCACTGGTTTTCAGTTCTATTTCTCTTTCTTAAGCAGTAAGAATGCATGTGAGTAAAGCACTCTTATTTGTATAGTTTTTTTTCTGGCTTATGGCATATATCTGTCTATGATAAGCAAATCCTGACTTATGGATAATATGGATTCTCCCCCCCCCCCCCCCCATGTTTTGTGATTGATGTTTCATACCTTAGATACTTTTCTCAAGAAAGACATTATTTGTGTCTAAATATAGCACTGCTTCTAACTCAGAGTGCCTGCAGTGTTTTTTACAGATACGCCTGAGCAGTTTCAGTAATAACTTTGATAGCAGGAATAGGTTTCTGCCCCTGCCCCCTGCAGCTACATCTGCTGCATAAAGCCTAAGTATACACCAGGGCCCAGCTACAGAGCTTGACTTTGAACTTATAACCTCCAAATACAGGGAATTCACCTCATTAGTGAGCAGAGTTAATTGAGTCAGTGCTCTGCCATCAATATCTTTAAGTTACCCTATTTCCTGGGATGCAGTTTACTGTGAATGTTTACTCTTTAGTCATAGTTAATGCTAGACCTGCTCTGGTTGACCCATATTGCCTCTGAGATGAGAAAATGGTTTTTGAAAAGGGTAGGAAGAAAATTAATAATCCAAGGAACTTTGGTACATTTTTTCTGACTTCACCACAAATAAAGGACAGTTCCAGATTAAAATGTTCGTCTGATACATTAATGACAATTTAGCTAAAAGAAATGTTACTTTTGAGGGTTTAGGCCCTGCTTTTAATGACATTTCAGATCTACTAGATTTATAGAATAAGATTATACAAATCTCTGCTGCTTGACATTTTCATTATTTTTAAATGTAACATAACTGTTAACACAAAGTTCCAATAAGTCTTCATCTAATGGGTACCTGTCATGTCTTGTGCTGTCTCAACTCTGGTTTGTGCTAAAGGACTCAGGCAATGGCTGGATCTCTCTCATTGCCTCACTCTCACAGCATTCCCATGACTATTTGTTGTGGGGTTCATCTGCTGACATAAATAGAGACAGCTGGTTGCATACACTTTTCTGGGCTGCTAGACAGATCCATAGGAATGAGTGCTCTTTAAACTCATATAAAGCATCTCTTAGCCATTATTGTTTTTTGTCATTTCAGGGTTTTCTTAGTGTGCATGCTCACTGAGCAGTCCTATTATTATTATTTTTTATTTTTTACTTGCTTGAGATGTGGTCTTGCCTTTGCAGAGGTGTCTGAAGAAACAGCTGAGGTGAAGTGGTTGTGGGCTTTCCCAGTTTTTCACAGATCCAAGCTGTCATTTATGGTCCAGGACCACAGAAGCAGCTAAGGCTGCTCAGTGGTGTGAGCCAGGGCCTCCCTCCCTGCTGTAAGTAAAGGGTAGCAATGCTTCACAAATGCAGCTAAATACAGGCTAAATATTTGGATACTGCTTTGTATTTGGATCATGATGCTGTCAGCCCAAATTCAGTTCTTTGCCAGTATTAATAAGGCGTGTCTCAGTCTCACACAAACCAAACCAAGCCACAGACATTCTCTCTGCAGGAAAGGCTTTATTTGTGCAAATGCCTTTCAGCTGGCTCCTTCTGTATGGGCCAGTGATCTAGAACCTAAGGCACAGAAATCTCCCCCAAGGACTGCAAATCTCTCAGTGTTTTTTATCATTTCAAGATGGGTATTCTCACAAATATGACATGAAATGATCAGCAATGAACAGGGTGTGTGATGCCAGAATGGAAAGAAGATGGGAAAAACCTTGCCTTCAGAAGAAGTGTGTTACTACTGGAGAAATCAGAAAATAGCCTTCAAGAAAGGAGAGCAAATACCATCTGATCTGCAATTATTTGTGGTCTGAACAAATCTATCACTCCTATATACACCAAAACTTTCCTTACAATGATTCTGCCATGATATATTTTACTGGGGAGGGATTTACTAAATATTTTGCAGATGGAGGAACTGACTGAAGGAATTCGCTGGGCTTTTATTGACATGTTAGAAAAGGAGAACGACTGGATGGACTCTGAAACAAAAAGAAAAGCTCATGAGAAGGTAATAAATATAAATGTTGAATAAATAAAATCCTGCTATGATAAAGATTTCACTTGAGTGTTAACAGTATGCCATGGACTGTATTTGCAGTTCCAGTTACTTACTGATCATTTTCTTTGTGAAGGGTCACATTTGTTTTTCTGGATGCAGAGCCATCTGAGCTCCTGCTTCTCTGCTGAAGTTATTTTTGTTACCTTGTTCTTCTTTCCTTGCATCCATCTTTCCCTATCTGGCTCTGGCTGATGTAGACTATGAGCTTATTTCAAATTTGGCTTTTCTCGACAAAGTCTTCACCTTGACTGGGATCCCAGGGACATAGCAGTCTACAGACAGAAAACAGTGCCTGTAACACCTGTGACAGCCAAGAGTATTTGCTGTGAAGAGGGAGGATCTAGCCTAGAAGAGGATATGAGAATAATTCAGGTTTCACAGTTTTTCCAGTGCTGTGGAGGGAGGCCTAACTTGAGAGCTGTCTTTTGAGAGCATGGTGGCAATCCCAGCTGACCATCCATTTCCTGACAGAATAATGCCAGTTATGAAGTGTTATAATCAAGGATGGCATTACTGGTCCTGATTGCTTTCAGATAAAGTCACAATAAAATGCAGGAGGCAAAGAGGAAGGCTGGAGGATGTACTCAAAACCTCCTTTTCACCCTATTCCCACATCTACAGCATGTGATGAGTGGAAAGGAAGATTGTCCAGATGCAGAGCTCTGCCCCCAGAACAGCAATTGGAAGGGGTGTATAAAAAATCAAGTGGAGGGTGTTGTGTAGGACTGTGTCCTTATTTACTGAGGCAATGGGATATCAGTGAATTAGTAAGCGCACTCTTTGAATAAACTGACAGCAAGTGCTGAACTGTTCCTGCTCTCTATGCTTGAATAAAAATAGCAGTATTTTAATTTAAAAGCAAACATGGACTTCAAAATTTTTAGTAATTCTAATGAAAAGGCTGTTGAGGAATTTCATCATTGGAAAGATTCAAATTCCATGTTCAGTCCATTTACATTTTATAAAGCAGTGCTCTTCATATATGTGCAAATGAAATAGAGCTGCATAAATGCACCAATAAACTCAATAACAAGAGAACAATAGTGAAATGACATTTATTTCCTGCTAACCTGGTGGTAAATGGGCTGCAGTTATTACTTCTTCCTGGCTGTTACACTTTTTTTTTTTCCTAGAAATACCATTAGAAATATAATAATCTGTAATTTAGATATTTGTTAAAATTGATGCAAAATAAGAGCAGGATGATTTTCTAATGATTTCCTTAATAAAGATATTTCTATATAACAACATGCTTAGTGACTCTGTTCAAAATTTGCTACCCGCCTTTCAGAAGGGAAATAATGCAAACATTGCCAAAACCCAATGAACTCCTAAAAAAAGCTCTCCCTTTCCCATTTTAAGGAGGATTTTCATCAGAAGGTAGGCTAGATCTCCAGTAGGTAGAGTTGGCTGTTTCCCTCTGTTGACAGATTTTGGAAGCACGTGGCACATTGCTCCCAATTTAGACACTGAAGGTTCTGAATTTAGTGGGGTGAGTCTGGGCTGAACAATGCATGACAAACTAAATTCCATAAGTACAACAAAAGTAATACTACAAGCCATAGTACTATGAAATGTATAGCCAATGGTTCAAATTCATTCTCACTGAACTTAAAAACCATTTCATAGTTTGCTGACATAGGAACAAAGTCAAACTTGTAAGACATGAGTGTTATGTAATGCCTTAGATACTGCAGCAACAATTACGTGATGCGACTTACGTCTACAAGTTTAAGTTCAGATCCACAGAAATAGCTGCTTGGCTGGAAAGAAAGAGCCTAGAGAGACATTTGGTAGATTTCCAGGCATGGAGTGTGTGTATGTTTATCAAATATTACTTATTGTTAATGATAGATCTTCTATTTGTCCTGGAACTCTTGGATGAGCTTGTTTTTAATTCAAGAAATAGATTCATTACATGTAGGGTCAGATAATTCACAGGGGAAATCTAAGTTTTATAATACAGCAGAACCTTCAAAATCTGTTACACTGTTCTAATTAAATCTCATGAGCCTAGCATTTCTGCTGTTACTTTTTCAATACTTAGGCTTTAATAAAGCAGCACAGACAAGCATGAATTTTATGAGGGAGATTGGTTGGTTAAAAAAACCCCCACTATTGCTTTATTGTAGAGATCTGTAAAAGTTGCATTTCTTTGTCAATAAATGTCACCCACATGCTGGACTCTGCACCCAGGATGGAGAAACACCAGGAACCAAGTATAAATTGGGAGAGAGAGGGTGCAGGGCAACAGCTAGGGACTTAGGGGCTGTCTGGACTGGAAAAAAAGAGGTGCAGGGCAACAGCTAGGGACTTGGGGGCTGTCTGGACTGGAAAAAAAGAGGAAGCTGAGGGGCCACATCTACATCTTCCTGAAGTGGGGAAGTGGAGAGGGAGGTGCAGATCTCATCTCCCTGGAATCCAGTGACAGCATGTGTGGGAGCAGGTCAAAGCTACTTCATCAGGAGAGGTTGGACTGGACATTAGGAATCTTATCTTTGCCAAGTGGGTGGTCAGCCACTGGAATAGGCTTCCTGGAGAGGTGGTTGTTGGCCCAAACCTGTGTTTAAGAAGCATTTGGACAATGCCCTTAACATCATGCTTTTACTTCTGGTCACCCTGAGGTAGTCTGGCTGTTGGACAAGATGTTCTTCCTTCCAACCAAAATGTTCTAATTCTATTCCATCAATTAAGTAAAGAAAGGATGCTATTAGTTAGGTAAAGGATGGTTTGGTCATTTATGTTTTCATCAGTAACTGTCCCATTGTCCCTTGTAGCAGTACAGATTGGAGGTTCTGCCCTAAGTTCTATGGCAGAACTGTATCCTACAGGGAAATGACTGATTCAGATATTTTGCTCATCCTTTGTATTTTTAATCACACTTCATTTGTGAAATGTTCAAGTGCTCTGAAAAGAAATTAACTGCAGAAACCTGATGGTGGTTTTGTTTACTGTGCCTGCTTCATGTCATCTATTTAATTTCCTTTAGTTTTTCTTTAATTCCAGGCATATTTGGGTAATTAACAATTTTTTTACAAATTTCCTGAAAGAAGAAGAGAGTCAATATGGGATCTGGGTGTCTGGGCAATGAGCATAGAGAATCTTGTGGTGATTGTATCTTTAGATCAACATTGTAATGTAAAGGACATGGCAGGTTTGAAAGAGAATTAATTGCAAATCCTCTCTGTGGTTCAGATACTCACTGTTTTGTGTGTTTTTTGCTTCCTGTTTTCTGACTGATGCCCACCTTTCTTTTGTGCTTGGCTGAGGCCAAATTTGTAAACCTTGCTGTCAGCCTGATGCTTTGCAATCAAAGGAACCATCGACCTCCAAAGGACTTACAAAAGACCCTCTGGTAGAAACTATTCGTGAATTTTGCTTTAGGCAGCTTGTCAGCTCTATCTATTCACTCCATCTGTGACTCTTTGCGTCTGTCCTGTTGTTTTATGTTACTCAGAGGGGACACTACTAATTTGATGTTAAAAGGATCAAATATACGACTCCATGTGACACAGGGAACAATTGTCTTGCAGCCTTGATATCTGAGAATAATCTCTTCAGCTGTTGTGTAGTTTAGAGTTAAGGTTTGACATTCCTTTTGTAACAAAACAATATCATGAGATAACATCTAATAATTTACCTCTCTCCTCCTTCCATTCCTTTCTTTCTGCGATGGAGAGATGAATTTAAACCAGACCATCTAAAAGCCAATCTCGCAGAAAAGGTTTCTAACAGGGCGAGGTGGCTCTGCCTTCACGTGCAGTTCTCACCTGGCTCTCTGGATGGAGCTCACGCTGCTTCCAAAGGAGCTCGGAGTCCGGGAGAAGCGCTCAGCTCTGTGCTGTGCTGCTGTTTTCTCTCCTGTCCTTATACCTCTGCTCTATTCAAGCCCTTCTTTATTGTACCGTCTTTGAGTATCATCTCAAATTTGCTTCAAGTATGTCTGTTAATCCCCCGAATTTTCAATGGAATGCTCTGATAAACAAACAAACACCACAAACAAGTTTCTGTTCTTGCCCTTTTAGTCTCTCTTTTGTAAGGGTCGTTACATTTTGCCCTCATTTGCAGAACAGAGAAATTATTCAACTGGGTGCAGCTCCAAGGGTGTCTCTGGCAACACTCTTCAAATGCATGTTCTGTGAATTACCCATGGCCACGTCACAGCCTCTGAGCAGGACTGCAGGGGTGCAGGAGTGAAGGGACACCCTTTAGTTTCCCTTACAATGAAGGTGCAGAATGCAGCCAGCCATGGTGGCTAAATGCTATTGACGGCTGTGTTTTGGCATGGTGGGCCATGGGGGAAAGGGGGAACCCGCAACTGAAACTCCATTGACATAACTTGTGTGATGAGGGCTCACTTCTTTAAAATGGTAATTTATTGCTTCTGCTCTTCAAAGGATAATTCAATGGAAAATCATCACTGACATGTTAAATTATTCCCACTCCTGGGCAGGAACCATTATTTTATTAATCACTATTTTTCCTTCCTAAAATGTCCTTTCTTCTTGGGTTTAACTGGAGGCTTGAAAAAAGAAGTTTTTCTTAAATTCTCCAAGTCTCTTGTAAAAGATCCTCTGAGGCTATGGCACAGGAATAACTTCCTATTTGGAAGTTAGTTCTTTTGCTTTGCAGTACTATTTTTAAAGCATGGATTATAAGCCAAAAAAGATCTTGTTTTTCCTCTAGTAAGATTTTTCTGTAACATTATTAACCTCCTTAAGTCATGGAGCACAAATCCCAAGGTCACTGTGCAATCATTTGGCTCCTGAACTTGCCTGCTGCTTTGCTTTATTTCTAAGTTGTATATGCAACATTTGTTTTCTCCGCATCTCTGAGTCTGAAGACTGAGTCAAGAGGAGCACAGGAAAATATCAGGACCGTGGCTAGCTATAGGTGGCTCTCTTGGGCAGTGTTAGGTACCTTTGTTTAGCCTACAGGGCTTGTTCTGC